AACCTCGAGGACGTTGAACCATTCCAGGCTGTTGAACGTACTTTGAATCTTTTCTCATCGAAGCATGGAGAGAAAGGCCATGTTCGCATACGAATGAATTTCCGACCTTTAATCATCGCGAAGACTAGAAAGAATACATCGACCTTTTCAAACGCGGGAAGGGCTGTGACACAAATTGGTGCGCTACCCGTTACTGCTGGAATATCTGCTGGGAAAGGGGTCTTCCACGGTGTCACGGGGCTCTTTAAGCACGCGCCTCGAGAGTCGGAAGAGCAACCAGAAACGAGCGACCCTCCCTCTGGCCAGGCTTCGCACCCTGTAGGCGTAACTGCCCATCCTACAGCATTCCCTGTTGGAGCTGCCGGTCTGGAAAGTAATGGATCATCTGAGCCTGGAACTTTGAAGGTCACTATTTTAAATGCTAAAGACTTGTCCGGTGGTGAAACGAAACCATATACTGTCATACGCGTCGGTGATAAAGAGGTAAAGACGAAGTACGTCGCAAAAACGGCGACTCCAGAATGGTAAGCGAACACTTATCTGGCTTATGGTGGCTTCTCAAATCGGTCACAGGAACGAGTCGTTCAATTTCAGTGCTGGGCCACATACGGCCAAGCTCTATGTATGGATCCACGAGCACAAAACTATAGGCAAAGACAAGGACCTTGGCGACGGTGAAGTCGATGTGGGTATTCGAGCCTTTTATGTTGTTGAAAGCGGTATTGATAAATTTTTAGATCTGGCGCCACATCCAGCCTCGCGGAAATACTGCAGCAGAGGTATCTCTTGAACTTCGGCAGGGCGGCCTTTTGCGGCTACGCCTGGAGTATGATTCTGCTCTACGTCCGAGTGGAAGTGGTGCGTCGATCTCATCGGACGAACGTCCACCACCACCACCAAAGGCTCCGTCCATAACACATTCACCCTCACGATTCAGCATAGGAGGGCGGTCTCGCCGCACTGTTACTGACGCGGAGTGATTTCGACCGCAACCTGTAGTACAAGGGATACCCCTGAGTTATTTTGGCACACGTATACACTCATTCCTTGACACACATGCTGCGACCCCTTACGTATCTTATTTATATGGTAACTAATGTCTAGTTTGTCTTGCCGGAACGCGACTGCCAAGAGACGCGTCAACTTGCACAAACTGAGTCACGTTGAACACCTAACGAACGACGATGTCCTCCCGCTGTGGAGAGCATGATACAGATTCTAAAACGTCGGTCTCGCACCCTCTCGTACCGTTTCTGCAGCTGCAATCACAAAATACACTCACTCGCCTCTATCAATTCCCCTCCTCATGTCTTGCTGTCTACCGTCTTCTGGCGCCCCTCGAAAGGCAGATTGTGATGAACTTGCTCTGGCTTGAGTCTGCCATACCTGCTTCAACGATGGGAGCATGGGTTGTTCGGGAAGGAAAACAGTTGCGTTAGATGTGTGCTTCTATGGTATTCGCGCCGGACGGTCTCATGACTCTGTTACTCAGCTTGTACGACGACTCGCTCAGCAACCTTCACAGACTGCATATAGTGCCGAATTCATTAGTCAAACTCGCACTGAATCCGACGTTTAAGACAAGTTTCCGGCAAGCCATTACAGGAAGGTGAGGTCCAGCATGTAGTTGCGAAGACAAAGACAAGATCACTCAAGTGAAATATAGCGGCACGAGCGGAAGCTTTGGAGTTCCGGCAGAGCCAGATAACAAACACACGCCACTTGATGTGGAAGGACTGGATGGGTATGCTTTAGAGAGGTGGGAGGTGAGTCCTATCATTTTAGACCAAGCTGCCAACACCGGCTTATTTGCAAGCTAGACAATCCTCCATTACATGGTGTCATCCGGAACGGGACAGAATCCACCTAAGCCATCCACGGGTGTCCTATATTTGCTTCAGAGAAGTGGATTGATGGTTAGCCATCGGTTAGTCCCATTTTATAACAACCCGGCCTTTTCTAACACCTTTCTAGCGGTTCACCTCTGCAAATCACGTCCATTGGATTCCAGTTCCTTCTTCACTCTCCACATGACCAACTTTGGGCCCTCTTACTCCAATATTTGGACATGGCTGAGGTTTGCTATCACTTGACAATTAGCTCTTGTTCTGACCATTACACTTCCAGCAACGGCAAATGGATCTTGTTGAAGTTCTAAATTTCCTATTCATGCTGTCTACAATGCAGCTTGGGAGGGTCAGTTCGGTCAAGTGATGTGTAT